TAGTGCCTCCTACAGTGTGCTGGGTCCTCCTGTGTCTGTTAGCAATCAAGAAATTCCCTGTAGACATGCCAGTAGGCAAACTTGATTTACATAATTGTGCATTAAGACTCTTTCTGGCTTTCTCTTTTTAGCTCAGTAGTGAGAACCATGTACGGCTCTTGCAGGACCCAGTTGGGCTCTCAGCTCCCATATCAGGCTGCTCAGGAGTGTCTGTAACTCTAGCTCCAGGGATCCGATGCCTCCTCCTGGCTGGCTAAGATGGACCAAACTGAAGTCAAAACCAAGCTGCACACTTGCTTCCCCTTTCATCCCAGCACCCATCCTCACACCTAGGCGTCTCTGGCTAGTAGTGCGGGTCCTAAAACCCCATGTAAATGGATCCGTACAGTATAATAACGGCCTGTGTATGGCTTCCTGGTTCAAGGGTTTTTCAGACATAACCATATCATTGCTTATATCAGCAGTTCTGTTTCTTTTAATCACCGAGTGCCATCCATTTCACCTCCAAGTCACCATGTCATTCACTAACTGGTAAACCCTTGCTTTATTTTCAACCTGATTCCTAAGCAAAAAATTTGTGTGGGAGGGGTAGGGGACGACAAGGTTTCATGTAGCCCAGACTGGCCTTAAACTAGGCCAAGTAACTGAGAATCACCTTGAACTTCTGATTCTCCTGCCTCCACCTCCTAAGTGCTGGAATTGCAGGTATCCACACCACATCCAGTTTATGCAGTGCTGTGGATGGAGTCCAGGGCTCCATGCGTGCTGGGTAAGTACTCTACTGAGTGCCTTTCTCATTCCTAATCCAAGCTTCTGTTCTTAATTTTTCCCCCATGGATCTTAGATAAACAACTAGGGGTGGAACTGCTGGCCATCAAGCAGACACATGTGTAAGCATCTGCTAGCAGGCTGGGAAGATGGCTTGGTGGGTAAATCACTTGCTATGCAATCACTGAGGGTTTGAGCTTGGATCCCCAGCACCCGCAGGAAATCCAGACACTCCCATGGTGAGATGGGGGGTGGAGACAGGAGAATCCCCAGAAGCTGGCCTGCTGAATACAGCAGAAGACAAGGGCCAACGTTCAAGGTTGTCCTCCGACCTCCACATATGTGCTGTGGCACACATGCATCCACAGTGTCGCACGCACACACACACACACACACACACACACTTAAAAACAGAGAATCTGCTAGACCGCTTTCTAAATTGGTATGCATTTTAAGCCCTCTCTAAAATTCCTGCTCTTTGTATAATTGACACTTGAGCTGGTCACGTTCTGCAGTGTCAGCCATCTTGGCAGGTGTGTGTGTGTGAGAGGGAGATTATATGTTCTATAGACAAAGGATGCCCTGTTTCACAGATGCCAAGGAAGCAAAGTGTGCTGATTACACTGTTTGAATCATACTGATCTCTGTCTTGGTTGTTCTATCATTTACTTTGAGTCACTGTAAAAATATTCTGTGACGAGGAACTTGTTGATGCTCCCTTTAGTAACTTACTCTATATTTTGTGTATCTTAGAATCTGTTAAATGATACATAAAAATTTTTGATAGTTGAGTGTGAAGTGCACACCTGTCATCCACACTCTTGGGAGGTACAGGCATGAGGATCAGGATTTAAGATCATCGTTGGCTACATAATGAATTCCAGGCCAGCCTGGGTTACATAAGATCCTGTTTCAAAGCAAAACAAAGTAAAGGACAGCAAGACTAAATAAATAATAAAAGATGGCAGACATTTCCATAATTCCTTTATGAGTATGTCCACAAATCCGGTTTGTTTGTTTATTTGTTTTGAGACTGGGTCTGTCTATGTAACCTGGGCTGGCCTCAAACACTTGATCTCCCCACTTCAAGCCTCGTGTATGCTTGTATTACAGATATGCACCACCTTGCTAGTATAACTTATTAATGGGAAGCTCAATAGCAGTTCCTCCTATTATGCGTGCTCAGTGTGCCCCTGTCTCTGTCTCTGGGTCTCACAGCAGGCATCTCAGATTTTTCTCATCAGCTTCCAGCTATAGCAGCTGGGTCCTGAGACAGGTACAGTGAAACATTCTTAAAGTGTGGGAAAGAAGACAAAAACAGGGGTTGGGAAGATGGCTAGTGGTTGAGAGCACTGGCTGTTCTTGAAGAAAATAGGGTGTGGTGGTTTGAATAGATATGTCCCCCACATAGACTCATGTGTTTGCATGCTTGGAGGTAAGGAATGGAACTACTAGGGAGTATGGCCTTGTTGGAGGAAGTGCATCACTGTGGGGGTGGGCTTTGAAGTTTCATATGCTGAAGCTATGCCCAGTGTGAAATTCAGTTCACTTCCTGTTGCCTGTGGATCAAGACGTAGAACTCTCAGCCCCTTCTCCAGCACCATGTTTGTCTGCATGCTGCCATGCTTTTCATCATGCCAATAATAGACCTAACCTCTGAAACTGTAAGCCAGCCCCAATTAAATGTTTTCTTTTATAAAAGTTGTCATGGTCTTGGTGTCTCTTCACAGCAATAGAAACCCTAACTAAGACACAAGTTAGTATTGCTGTGATAAGTCTGACCATGTTTTTATTTGGAGGAATGTGGACTTTGGTATTTTGGATTAGAAAAGCAGTTGAATGCATTAAAGGCTTAATGGGCCATCCTAGTTGGATCATGGAAGACATTGGTGCTGAGGGTGAACTGTGGGGGGCCTGGCTCAAGGGGTTTCAAAGGAGAAGAATGTTAGTATGTGGCCTACTGATCAGTCTTGTGATATTTGGGTGGAGAATGTGGCTGCTTTTTGCTCTTGTCTGAAAAGTCTACCTGAGGCTAAAGTGAAGCTTTTGGATTAATTCCATTGGCAGAGGAAATCTCAAAACAGCCTAGGATTGACTCTGTTGTATGGTTATTAGTGTTCACTCTTATGAAGATTTATAATGAAAAGGAAAAAGCTGAGCAAGGAAAAATACAAAATGGAGAATTTGAGGAGAAGGGGGCACCAGGAAGTGGAATGGAGCTAAATCCTGTGTTTAAGGAGATAAACAGATTAAGACATGGAATAAAGGGAGTGGAGACCTTATGGCAAGATCCCACCTGGCTAAGCTTCCAACTTGTGAAAAGGAATTACAGAACAGCTTGGGTCTAGGGGTGGTGGTGCATGCCTTTAATCCCAGTACTCAGGAGACAGAGGCATGCATATCTCTGAGTTCAAGGCCAGTCTGGTCTACAGAGCAAATTCAAGGACAGCCAAGCTTAGGCAGTGAAGGAAACCATGGAAAACAAAAGCTGGTGAAGATGTAATTGAACAAGGAGACTGTGTTCCAGCCCCAGCAAGCAACGGAAATTTGATACCTTCAGCCACGTGGTTCTGGCTTTAGAGTCAAGGATACAAGAAAGGGGTTATGGAATATCCCTCTGCAACTAAGGAAAGTCACTGAGGCCAGGCATGTGTCAGGGGTGTCCCTGAATGGAGGCACAGAGAGGACATTTTGTGAAGCTATGAAGGTGAAACCTGGATTGCCTTGGAGACCCCAAGATGTTAGAGATACCAGAGCTGTGGGATACCTGCTGAGGAAAGCTACTAACAGAAAGTGGAACCAGCCCAAGAGAGAGAAGTGTGTTGCAGTCAACAAAGCTGGAAGAAGCTGGAGATCTGGAGTGTTTTGACATCAGACATGGAGATGCAGAGTCTGGAGTTTTCCCAGCTTGTTTTTGGTCTTGCTTTGGTCCAGTATTTCCTCCTTATGCTCCATTTCCTACAGTTTGGAATGATAATGTATATCCTGTGCCATTATATGTTGGAATTTTTTTATTTTGATTTTATAGGGGATTACAGTTAAGAGATTGTATGAATCTCAGAAGAGACTTTAAAGTTTGGACTTTTAAACATTGTTGAAATTGTGATAGACTATGGGGACTTTTGAAGTTGGATTAAATTCATTTTGCATTATGTTATAGCTATAAGCCTATGTGGGCCAGGGAATGGAATGTGGTGGTTTGAGTAGGTATGGCCCCCACAGACTCATGTGTTTGAATACTTGGCCCATAAGGAGTGGCATTGTTAGGGGGTGTGGCCTTGCTGGAGTAGTTGTGGCCTTGTCAGATGAAGTATGTCACTGTGGGAGAGGGCTTTGAGGTTTCATATGTTCAAGCTATGCCCAGTGTGGGACTCAGTTCACTTCATGTTGCCTGTGGATCAAGATGTAGGACTCTCAGCTCCTTCTCCAGCACCACGTCTGCCTGCATGCCGCCATGCTCCCCACCATGAAGATAGTGGGTTAAACCTGAAACTCTAAGCCAGCCCCAGTGAAATGTTTTCCTTTGAAAAAGTTGCCGCTGGGTGGTGGTGGCGCACACCTTTAATCCCAGCACTTGGGAGGCAGAGCCAGGTGGATCTCTGTGAGTTCGAGGCCAGCCTGGGCTACACAGAGAAACCCTGTCTCGAAAAAGCAAGAAAAACAAAACAACAAACAAACAAACACATAAAAAAGTTGCCATGGTCATGGTGTCTCTTCATAGCAATCAAAACCCTAAGACATAGGGGTTGGATTCCCAGAAACCATGTCCAGTGATTTACAACCTCCTGTAACTCCAATTCCAGGGGATCTGCTGCCCTCTTTGGTCTCCATGGGCCACACACACACACACACACACACACACACACACACACACACACACACATACACACACACAAATACACATAAATAAAAATTTAAAAAATTAAAAATAAAAAAATTAAATATTAAAATCAAAGACAAAAACACAAGCAGACCAATCGCAGCAGAGGTTGTAGAGCTGGAAACCTCACCTTGGAAATGAGAGGACATCCTCAGAATTGGTGTCGACAGGCCGCTGCACAAGAGCCCAGTGGCTTCCTGGTCTATGCTCCCATTGCATGGATGGGAGACCAGGACACGAAAGGGAAAAACCATGTACTGGAATATCCCGTGAGTGGGAAGGGAGACAAGGAGAATACTTCAAACAGAACTAAAAGGCCTTTTATTTGTGGATCCCTGAGAAGGAGACAACAGGTGTTTGGGGTGGGGGCAAGCCGAACAGTGGCAAGGCTGGGTCAACACCAGCTAGAGGACGCTGCACACAGAGGAGAATGCAGGTGGGTTCCATTCCTGTGTCTGAGGGAGGAGGCTGTGGCCTGGACCCCTGTGTCTGAGGGAGGAGGCTGTGGCCTGGACTCTGGGTCTGAGGGAGGAGGCTGTGGCCTGGACTCCTGAGTCTGAGGAGGGAGGTTGTGGCCTGGACTCTGGGTCTGAGGGAGGAGGCTGTGGCCTGGACTCCTGAGTCTGAGGAGGGAGGTTGTGGCCTGGACCCCTGTGTCTGAGGGAGGAGGCTGTGGCCTGGACCCCTGTGTCTGAGGGAGGAGGTTGTGGCCTGGACCCCTGTGTCTGAGGGAGGAGGTTGTGGCCTGGACCCCTGTGTCTGAGGGAGGAGGTTGTGGCCTGGATCCCTGTGTCTTAGGGAGGAGGTTGTGGCCTGGACCCCTGTGTCTGAGGGAGGAGGTTGCGGCCTGGACCCCTGAGTCTGAGGAGGGAGGTTGTGGCCTGAACTTGTGGGTGGGTCTGAGGGAGGAGGCTGGGAGCAAATCTGAGCCTCTGACTCCCTCAGCAGGCTTCATGTGGGCGGTGTGGTCAGTCCACAGCTAGCTGGTCTGAATGGTGGTCTGGATCCAGTTAGTGAACTTGCAGAGGTTGGTGTAGACACTCGGTATGCCAGGCTGCCCACACTCTCCTTGTCCCATAGACACGAGCCCTTGCAGGGATCTGTTGCACACTATGGGACCACCAGAGTCCCCCTGAGAGAGAGAGAGAACCCAGGAAAGCATGAGCTGAAGGTACACACGAGGTCCCAGCTTTCACATAAGCATGGCGGACAGAGACAGGAGGAAGCCAGCCACATGTCCTTGCCAGAGCCCAGAGACTACCTGAACAGGAGCCATGTATCCACACCACTCACTGCTTCCCTGAGGCTTGTTGAGCCCTGTCTGTCTGTCTGTCTCCTTCAGGGCTTGCTCATCTGCCTCTATGTCACTATGTTCTATGGGACACATATATATATCTATGTCTTCTTCATTTTTACTTTCTCAGAATGACTATTTCTGTTTCTAACCATGTTTATTTTTCTTTCTGTTTTGTAGTACTGGAAACAGAATTCAGTGCTTTACCAAGGTCCCTACCACTGAGCCCCCCCTCCCACCTCCCTGCCCCTCACTGAGGGATTCTAGGCAGGAAGCTCTACCACTGAGCCACACCCCAGCCCCTCACTGGGGGATTCTAGGCAGGGGGTCTACCACTGAGCCACACCCCAGCCCCTCACTGGGGGATTCTAGGCAGGAGCTCTACCACTGAGCCATACCCCAGCCCCTCACTGGAGGATTTAGGCAGATGTTTTGTACTGGTCTATATTCCTAGCTGTCTTTTTATATTTTATTTTGAGACACAATCTCAGTTAGTTGTCCAGGCTGGATCTTCCTTCTGAGCTTCCTGAGAGGCTAGGCTTATAGGTTTGAACCACCATGCCTGGCTTCTGGGTCTGTGTGTTTCTGCCTCCCTGTTCCTCTCTACTCCCCTCCCGGCCCTTCCTTTTGAGACAGGGTCTCACTGTGTATGTATACCTGGCTAGCCTTGAACTCACAGAAATAACCTGAGTCTGCGTCCCCTGCTGAGTGGGCCGCCACACCTGGCTCCTCCGCTTCTCACAGTCCATCTCAGTGTGCCTCAGGTGTACCTTCCGCATCTCCCGCCCCCACCTCTGTTCCACCTCCCTGTATCTCACATTGCATGTGTCCTTTCGGTCCAGTCCTCCTCCAGCGCAGAACATGCTTAGGTGATACACAGGGTCATACAGCAGCCGGCAAGTCTCCTCCGACACCACCGAGAGGTTCACACACTGCAGCAGGCTGGGCAGTCTCCCTGGGACACAGAATGGGGGGTCAGGCCCTTTTGGCGGGTGGGAAACTTAGAGAGGGCAGGCATGTTCCCAGCAGCTCACCGTTCCTTAGTCGACCCCAGCCGGAGACTAGGCAGGTATCCCCAGGGGTGGGGGCACTGGGAAGCCACAGGGATGCGTCTGATGGTGCTAGACTCCATCACTGATTCGTTGAGCTTGATGAGCATGAGATCATTGGCATAAGGAGGGTCATTGTAGTTCGGGTGCTGGATGGAGAGGTGGGCCTCTAACATCCGGCTGCCAGGCTCTTGGGAGCCTTCCAAGCTGTGCAGGCCCAGTCCCACGGTGTAGGAACTGAGGATCACCCAGCAGGTGAGCTATGCAGTGGCGCCTGTGTCTCCCGTCTCATCCTCCACCCTAAAGCAACAGTGACCTCCCGCTTTGCCTTTCTCTTCCCACTAGACTGTCCTGGTCCAGCTAGGTCGGGCTCCCTTTACATCTGTCAACACTGTGACCCCTTGAGCACCCTCCGCAGGCCGAGTCTGATATCGAAGCCCCTCCCCTCAGCATCCCACCCCCCACCCCCACTCACTCCTGTAAGCAGTGCGCTGCTGACAGCACCCACTGCGGATGCACCAGGACGCCCGAGCAGAAAAACAAATTGTCTTCTGAGAACAGTGCCGCCTGCCAGGGTTGTGAGTGAGGACGGCAGTCCTGGCCTTGTATGATCCGGCCGCTGGCACTTGAGGCTAAGGATCCTGGGGATGGAGTTAGAATTGGGAGGTATGGGGTGAGGAGCAGGGACGTCTCATGGCTTCTAGGATGGGACAGGGTTTAGAGCAGGGTTTGCGAGCACTGGCGGGTTGAGAGCTCAGAGTTATGGTGGTGATGTTTGAGTGAAGAGATGTGATCAGAAGTTGCACTCTGTGTGTGTGTGTGTGTGTGTGTGTGTGTGTGTGTGTGTGTGTGTGTGTCAGGGGTGGGGTGGGGACAGCAGCTGGGTCTTGACTGGGGACAAACTGAATCCTGGGTTACAGTTCCTCCTTGTAGGGTCCCAGGGAAGGGGAGTGGTTACAGCCCCAGGGCAAGGCCAAGGCAGGGGACCAGTTCAAGAGACAGGATTATGTCTCCCAAGGGTAGGATATCAGAGTAAGGACTTGGTTAAGAGTTTTATGATGGAATTGAGGTTTTAGGGTCTGGGCCATTGCTGGGGACAGGTTCTGGAAGCAGCCTCAGGGTTCCTGGGGTAAGATTCAGTGCGGGGAGGCTTCATCAGGGCTTCAGGGGTGGAGCCAGGCCTGGGGTCAGAATGAGGAAGCTGGATCAGGTGGGGTTTGAGTGCATACATGTGGCTGGGGCTTCACAGGTCCCGGAAGGAGTCGTGGGAAAGGGAAGGAAAGCGCTTTGAAGGTGGGTGGTCAGGTCAGAGTCTGGACTGGGGCAGGCAGGGCTCACTGGGACAGGGTGTCAATTAGGGATCAAGGTCTTTGCCTCCTGAGAGAGGTTAGGGTTCACCACATAAACTGGGCAGTTCTGGGGACAGAATCAGGAGGCGAACCCAGGACTCAGGGAACAAGGTCTCTCTTCAGGGATGTGGGCATGGCTGGAGACAGTCTGATGAGGCTGGACCAGGGTTCTTAAGGGCAGAGTCTGAGAACAGGGGTGTGGCTGAAGCTTTAGGGTTCATAAGGGTCAGGGTCAGAGGGAGGAGAATTACCAAGAAGGGGCTACGAGAGTCATTGGTGTTTTGGGAGACATAAGGGACTAGTCCCCAGTCACCAAGCAAGTGGTGCCTGGAGTGAATCAGGTCTCAGAGAGGTGGGGTCAGGGCTCTGAGGGGTGGGGTTAGGGCTCAGAGGGGTGGGGGTCAAGGCTCCAAGGGGTGGGGTCAGGGCTCCGAGGGGTGAGGTCAGGGCTCAGAGAGGTGGGGTCAAGGCTCAGAGGGGTGGGGTCAAGGCTCAGAGGGGTGGGGTCAGGTCCCTTGAGAGAAGTTAAGGTCCAGTGGCCTCCTTAGGTCTGGGAGCCAGGATCAGCACACTGGATGCAGGGTCATCTGTCAGGAGGGTGGGTCAGCTTGCAGTCTCAGGCTAGTCTTCAGGACCCAGGAACCATTTATGTCTCATACACAGAGCCATGCCAGGAATCTTTCAGAACACATGGCCCCTTCACCCAGCTGGCCCAGAGGAGACAAGACACTCAGCCAGCTACTCCAGGAGCTGTTCAACTTTGTGGCATAGCTGTGCCTCCACCCAGCCTCACCACAGTCACACCCAGCCACAGCCCATTCACCCAGACATCGTTATCCCAGAGGGGCTGGGAGCTCAGTTGGTCGAGTGCTAACAAAGCATGCACAGAGCCTTGGGTCTGAATTCCAGCACCATGTAACCTCGTCATGGTGGTGCGCACCTGTAATCCCAGCGCTTGGGAGGTGGAGGCAGAAGAATCAACAGTCCAAGGTTGTTCTTAGCTTTAGTGAATTGAAGGCCAGCTTGGACTATGTAAGACTCTTTAAAAATAGATAAATGGGCCAGGTATCAGCCCCAGCACTTCTGTAAGCATGAGGCCAGCCTGGTGTACATAGTGAGTTTAAAAGAAAGGAAGAGAGAGAGAAAGAAAGAAAGAAAGAAAGAAAGAAAGAAAGAAAGAAAGAAAGAAAGAAGATAAATCATCTAGTTACCCAGGAACTGGGCACAGACCCCTTTTCCCCTTAGTGGCACAAACGGTCACTAAATTCCGTGACCCACCACCCTTTGCAGGCATGGTCTTACCCCCATCCACTAGTCACATCAGAAGCAGTAAGACACTGAGTGATGCCTGAGCGTTAGCTGACCCTGTTCCTTCAGGCACACATCATGATACACACACTCAGATACCTGTGACCCCGAGGAAGAGATGCCCCAGGAACCAGCCCCAGGGGGTTCTCGCAGTGACCATCATGTTGGCTCCTGGAAAGAAGACCAGTGAATCTGGGGATGGTAGTCCCAGTCTCTCCATCTCCCCTGTTTCCTCTCTCTCTCTCTCTCTCTCTCTCTCTCTCTCTCTCTCTCTCTCTCTCTTGTTTTTTGTTTGTAGGATATAACTGGGCAGAAGGAGATGGGGGTGGAGGGAGAAAAAAGGAGGAGGAAGAGGAGGAAGCATTTAATATCTAGGAACAGGGATCGGGGAAATGGAGAGACGGAGGCATAGATTTTCACTTTAGACCCAGACAGGGCATTCAAGAGGTCTGGTCAGAGGCAGCCTGAGAGGCAGAGACCAGAGCCAAAGATTTAGAGTGGACTGGAGAGAAGCTTCTAAACAGAGAGAGAGAGGGAGAGGGAGGGAGGGAGGGAGAGAGAGAGAGAGAGAGAGAGAGAGAGAGAGAGAGAGAGAGAGACAGAGATCCTCACCTGCTGTCTCTGGGCTCCTGATCCTGTGATCCTGTGGAACCTGCGATTCTGCGGCTGGGCTGAGCAGAGCTGCTACCCACAGGGGCCCCCACAGGGCTTTATAAGCTTCCTCAGCTGGGGCTGGCCCTGCCCCCCAGGGGACACATTCCACACGTCAGGTGCTGTGAACTCCAGCTCAAAGCCCTCAGGCTGCCTGATGGAGTCTAGGACACAGGAAGGGAAGAGTGCCCAGATCCCAGCCTCTCTTGCCTCTTTTTCTCCCCTCCCTCCAACCTCCCTCATGCTTTTTCACTCACTCCTTCCATCTCTCATGCTCCTCTTATTCAGCAAATAAAATTTCCCCTACATCACTCCTATATTCTCTCTCTCTTTATGAGTTCCTTCCTGTGTGTCCTCCAAAAGCTGCCCCGCCATCAAATCCAGCCTGCATCTCGTACTTCCTTGGGAACCTTATTCGTGACCAGCCTCCTGATCCTCCGTTTTCCCATGTAGGATCAGGGTAACCATCACCCCATGACTAGCCTGAATTCAGATAACCCTGCAAGCAGATCCTCCCTCGGCAGGTGTCCTAGCGCAGAGGCTCCTGGGAACCAGCCTGTCAAGAGCAATCCAGCAGCTATGCTTGGAGCCAGGGCCGGGAAGAACGAAACTGTCTCCTGGGACTCGTGTTCCAGTGAGAGTGAGGAGATAGACAAAACGAAAACCTTGAGGGATCGGGAAATAAGTGGTGGTTGGTAGTGTCTGAGGAAGGATATTTAAGCCGGGAGCCAGACAACTATGAGGAAGAGTGGGGACTTGGCAGGTGAGGGTGGCAGCAGAAGACATCTTGGTGTATGTTGGTGGATATTTCCATGGGAAACAGGACAGACAAGGAAGCCTGCAGAAATGGTTTAAACATCAAGGTTAAGGGCTTAGGTTGTATGTTAGGCCCAGTGGTAGAGGAAGTGATGTGAGTTGCCTACTTTGTAAATCACTCTTTTTTTTTTTCTTTCTTTGGTTTTTTTTTTTTTTTTTTTTTTCCGAGACAGGGTTTCTCTGTGTAGCTTTGCGCCTTTCCTGGAACTTACTTGGTAGTCCAGGCTGGCCTCGAACTCACAGAGATCCACCTGGCTCTGCCTCCCGAGTGGTAAATCACTCTTGGTGAGAGGCAGGGGGTGGAAGGGAGGACCACGCTGAGGAGGGAATGCTGAGACTGAGATGTGAAATGCCATCGCCTAGACGGGAGTTGCCGTGGTCCAGATTAAAGACGCTGTGATCCTGGAGGGAGATTCTGAGGTCCAGTGAGAGATGTGGGGGTTCAGGTGGTAGTGCTCGGTGCATCAGGTCTCACAGGCACATACTGTGAAGGATGAGGCCAGTACTGAGGCCAGGGAGGCCAGCTAAAGAGAGAGGAAAGAGGCGGGTGGTGTTTTCTTTGTCTCTTTTCTCACTGGGTCAGGTGGAGGTGACCTAGGATTATCTGGGAACAGACTCAGGCAGTGGGGGCGTTTCTGGTCTCACATGTTGGAGTTATTTGCACTAAGATGGAAATTCACTTCCAATGGGCAGAATACAGTCTGAGGTGTGGGGTGCAGAAGGACAGAGACAAGGAAGGACAGATGTGAGCCAAGAGGACTGGGAAAGTGACACCGAACCAAAAGGATGTGACGGCTCAGAGAGACGGAAACTTGGAGACCTGAAAATGGGCAGAGCAGAAACACATACCCAGAGGGACACACAACTGAGCCACACGCTAGCCCCCACTGGGGTCTCTAGGTAGGAGCTGCAGCACTAAGCCATAACCACAGTCCCTCACTGAGGAATTCTAGACAGGGGCTCGACCTTTGAGCCAGGCCATGTCTCAGCCCTTTTGTTGTCTTTTTTTTTTTTTTTTTTTTTAAGATATTATGTATACAGTGTTCTGTCTGCATGTATACCTGCCGGCCAGAAGAGGGCACCAGATCTCACTACAGATGGTTGTGAACCACCATGTGGGCTCAGGCTCTCTGGAAGAGCAGTCAGTGCTCTTAATCTCTGAGCCATCTCTCCAGCCCTTGTTGACTTTCTATAGCATCCTACACATCTCTCAGAGCCCAGTGGAACAACTTATGCACAATTTTGTTTGTCTGTTAATTCTCCTAACATGTTTCCCTCTAGGCTGGGAGTCCTTTGAGAACAGACCCCTGTTGTCTTGGTTTTGGAGGTGAGATGGATGGATGCAGGCACACAGACAGGAATCAGAGAGCACAGAGGCAGACAGAAAGAGGGGGACAGAGGGCCAGGGAAAACAGTAACACACAGTAGTATAGTAGTTAGTTAACTTCTGGGGAGCACTCCCTCTGGCCCTGCCTTCAAGGTTTGCACACAGGAGGACTGGACGATTCCTCACCTGGAGTGCTTGGATCAGAAGAAACTGGGGTTATGGAGTATTCTCTCTCTCTCTCTCTCTCTCTCTCTCTCTCTCTCTCTCTCTGTGCATGTGTGTGTGTACATGTGTGCTCATGTGTGTGCAGGTGCACATGTGTGTAGGGAAGCACGTGTGAGACCAGAGGTCAGCCTTAGCCATCTTTCCTCGGATGTTGCCCCCCCTTTTTGTTCTCAGGCAGGGTCTCTCCATGGCCTGTAACTCATCGATTCAGTGAGGCTGAGTCCCAGGAATGCTCCTCTTTCTGCTTCCCCAGTGCTGAGATTGTAAGCACCACCACACCTGGCTTTTTTTTTTTTTAATTTTAATTTTTTCATCTGTTTTCTGGGGATGGCACTCAAGTTCTCGTGCTTGCAAGGCAAGCGTTTTACCCACTGAGACACCTCCCCCACCCTGTTCTCAAGCATAGGGGAGAAGTCAGTGGGACCGGAGAGATGGCTCAGCAGTTACAATCACATACAGTTGGTTCCCAGCACTCGTGTTAGGAGGCTCACAAATGCCTGTAACTCCAGTTCCAGGGGCCCTGAGGCCCTCTTCTGGCTTTCTTGGGCACTACACTACATCTCCACACACTTAACTAAAACTAAAATATTTAAAAAATGATCACATTCATGTTTTTATTTATGTTAATTGTTATTTATGTTGTTTATATTATGCATGCCATTGCACACTTATCAAAGTCAGAGGATAACTTGCAGAACTGGTTCTCTCCTTCTACCACGTGGGTCAAAGGGGTGGAATTCAGATCTGGGATGAGCACCTCGACCCGCTGAGTCATTTTGGGCCCCCTCTTAAACTTTTTCTGAACCAGAGTCATACTATAGCTCAGGTTGACCTTGAATCCCAGAAAATCCTCCTGCCCTGGCTTCTTAAGTGCTGGGGTGACAGGCGTGAAGCACCACACACAGCGGTTAGCACACTCTTCCTAACACCACCGAGGCATGGAATTCACCAACTGAAGGTGTCATTTTGGTGTTCTAAAACTTTAGATTTTGAAGTATTTTAAATTTTCTGACTTGTAGACATGAAACCTCTGACTCATTTCTCTTCTGATGACTTTGTGGAATAGAGAGATCTGTGCACTTCTTTTGCAGATAAGGAAACTGAGGCACAGAGAGGCAAGTAAACACTGAAAGTCAGAGAAAGGCTGAGGCTGGAGGGATTTAGATGGTTGAACAGAACAAGACAATGAGCTGGACAGATCCTACACAGTGAGAAGGTGGCCAAAAAGTCAGACACTGAGAAACTTGGGAGTTAGGGGTATCATCATCATCATCATCATCATCATCATCATCATCATTCAAAAACAGAATGGAAGACTAATGTTTCTATATCACCTACTCCTTTGCATGTATTTTTGGAGTTGCTTTATAAACATAACCCCTTGAGACCCAGTATTATGCCCCAGAGGAGACAGACACACAGAGAGGTCAAACAAGCTGCCCAAGGCCACGCAGCAAAGTGGCAGTGAACTTGAGACTTAGTAGCTTGAGCACGAAGTGTATATTGATCACATAGTTCCATTGTCTCTCAGAAAACTGCAGCTTCAGAGTTGGACAGGTGGCGTGCTCCTGCAGGAACACAGGATATGGGGAGCCTGGGACACACCCAGACAGGACATCCCTCACCTGAACCATCTGCCCTTATCTCTACATACAAGTGAGGTTCAGCCTGGGTGGGGGCGGGGAGGGGGAGGCTGGAGGCACCAGGGCCTGGGGCAGGGTGCCAGGCAGAGCCCACTCCTGCAGAACTGGAGAAACAGGTCCTGCTGCTGCAGGCAGGTGAGCCAGGCTCCTACCCTACCGAGGAGACTCCTCCATTTTAGAATCCCAGACTTTCCTGGCTGGGGTCCAGTTGGGGGCCCAGACAGCCTTAGGTGATCTGTTAAATTTTCCCTGCTAAACCTTCAAAACAGCTGTGAGTTGAAGTTGAACTTACTTCAAGGGCAAGGACATGTGGCCATCCCGCTTTACTCAATGCCATGAAGCTGTCTTGGGACCTGTCCTGTCACCTTCCACAAAGAGCAGCATTTTCTGTCCTAAGTACGGACAAAGAACAGGGGAGCTGGTGGGGAAATCCATGTGCTTCCAAGGAGAAGCCAGGACCAAGTTGGAGCAATCTTCAGGATCCCCTCAAGAAGTGAAGAT